ACTTCAGCAGGGCTGATCTCTTCTGAGGCCCATCTCCTGGGGTACTAGATGGTCACCCCGAGGTTCTCTGGGGCTTATCCTCTGCCTTAGAGCACAAATCCCCTGCAATTTGAAGGACACTGCTCACCTAGTACCGGAGCGCACCCTAATGAGTTTATTTAATCCTAATGACTTCCACTCCAATGCAGTTTATTCGAGTCACAGTCTCAGATAACTGGGGATAGGGTGACAACAATCATGTTTTGTTGGATACAACTAAGCAAAACCCATCTGCCAATGAGGAGAGTTATCACCCCCAATTTGAGAACAAAACCTACATGGAAAGAGGCCAAATGAAATACTATACTAGGGTGTACATTTTCCTATAGCATTGGGCCCAGTCTCACCCATCCCAGCTCTTATTGCTAATAACCGTTTGCGTAGAGGACATAGCTTATGTGGGAGTCTAGCAGGGGCAAAGCACTGGGTCCAATCAGCATTATCACAAGACAAGGAATAATCCTTAAGAACGTTAATGGATGTCAAGCTTTGGAGGGTGGGGAACAGACCTTCACAGAGCTGTGATTTTATTCCAGTAAAATTACTGGTTCTCGGTGTCCCCCACAGACATGAAGAGATGTCTCCTGTGCCCCAGGGACCAGCACTCCAGCCCTGCCCAAGACCAATGCCTGCCCTGGCCCGAGGCCTTCCTGGCCTTCGAGGAGCCCCTGGGGCTCGCCCTGGCCACGGCGTTCCTCATGCTGACTGGCCTGGCAGTGTTGGTCCTCGGGACATTCTTGAAGCACCAGGGCAGACCTGTGGTCAAGGCCAACCACTGGCCTCTCAGCAACTTTCTCCTGGCCTCCCTGGGCCTGTGTGCTCTTGTGTTCCTGGGCCAGCACACAGCCACCCTGTGCCCCCTGTGCCAGACCACCTTTGCTGTGGTGTTCACTGTAGTGGTCTCCTCTGTTCTGGCCAAGACTCTCACTGTGGTGCTGGCTTTCAGGGTTACCAGGCCCAGGGACAGGTTGCGGGTGTGCCTAGGACCCAGCACCAATCCGTCTGTGGTCCTGGCTTCCTCCTCAGTCCAAGTGATTCTCTGTGCAGTGTGGCTGGGCACATCCCCACCATTCCTGGATACGGATAAGTGCTCTGAGCCCAGGCACATTGCCATCCAGTGCCAAGAGGGCTCCGGAGTGGCCTTCTCCTGCCTGCTGGGCCACCTGGACTACCTGGCCTCAGGGACTTTGTGTGGCCTTCCTGGCCCGGGGCCTGCCTGAAGCCTTCAATGAGAGCTGCTTCACCACCTTCAGCATGCTGCTGTTCTACAGCGTCTGAACAGCTTTCCTGCCCCTGTACCACAGTGCTCAGGGCAGGTCCTTGGTGGCTGTGGAGACCTTCTCCATCCTGGCCTCCACTACAGTGCTGCTGGGTGGCATCTTCAACCCCAAGTGCTACCTCCTCCTGCTGAAGCCTGAGTGTAACACTGCAGTCCATTTGCATCCAGGACAGCAGGCTCACTGAGAAGGCAGAGAAAGGGGCTCTGTAGCAGGTGTCTTTCCTGGTCCATGCCACAAAGCTTCATGAGTCAGGCCTCATGGAAGACATTAGGACCACATGATTCTTGCTTGTTGCTTCAAGGTGGGTTAAAAGGAATTAAATGAGGGGCTGGGAAGGTGGCTTAGTGGTAGAGTGCTTGCCTTGCATGCCTGAGGCCCTGGGTTCGATTCCTCAGCATCACAGAAGCAAAAAAAGAAAAAAAAAGCCAGAAGTGGCGCTGTGGCCCAAGTGGTAGAGGGCTAGCCTTGAGCTGAAGAGCTGAGGGACAGCACCCAGGCCCAGAGTTCAGGCCCCACGACCGGACCCCCCCCCCAAAAAAAAGAATTAAATGACAGATCTAGAGAGATGATGCTAGTGGTTCAGAACACTACTGACTATTGGATTAAGATGGCGGACACGGATGGTCATAGACTATCCTCTCTATGCAGTAGTGAAAAATGTTCATAGTTAAGAGAGTTATGATAATGATGTTGAGGAGGACAAGTGTTGGTAAAAATAGGGGAAATCGAAGCTCTCACCTACACCTGGTTGATATAAGATGGAAATGGTCAGTTCCTGGGAAGATCACCATGTGGCTTACCATGTGACTCAGAAATTCTCTCTGCTTAGGGATATACTCAAGAGAAATGAAGTCAGGGAAGGTAGCTCAGTGGTAGAGTGCTTGCCTTGCCTACATGAGGCCCTGGGTTTGATTCCTCAGTACCACATAAGCAGAAAAAGCTGGAAATGGTACTGTGGCTCAAGTGGTAGAATGCTAGCCTTGAGCTGAAGAGCTGAGGGACAGCGCCCAGGTCCAGAGTTCAGATTCTATGACTGACAAAACAAACAAACAAACAAAAAAAGTGTGACTAAATGTTGAGAGAAGCATTATTACTCAGTCTAAAGTGGAAACAATGTAAATGTCCATCTGCTGAGTGGACAGACAGGTGGTGGCATCTGGACAGAAGGGATTTGATTTCACAATAAAAAGGACTGAAGTACTAATTCATAGTACAACATGGACAAACCTTGGAAACATGCTGTGTGAAGGACATCAGACACAGAGTAAGATTCCTTTTTTTTATTGTGAAAATACTGTACAGACGGGTTACAATTACATGGGCAAGATAATGAGTACATTTCTTATCAAGCATTGTAGCCTCCTCCTTTGTTTCCCCTTCCCATCCTCCCCCTGCACACCCCCCATCAAAGTTGTAAAGTTCATTTTCGACATAACAACTTAATACATCTCATTGTTGCAGTGGGTCCACCTGTATCCCTATTTAAACGATTTGTTTTTCTCCTTCCCCTTCACAAATTATACCGACATCAAATACAGTGAAAGCAGGGGTTATACTGTGGGGGAGGGACATACAAAGCAACAAAGAAAACACACAGAGTAAGATTCTGACATACAGTGTCCCTTTTAAGATTCTATTTGCATATAGTATCCTGCATAGGCAAATTCATAGAGGCAGAATTCGTTTTGTGGTTTCATTCAGTGTGGACGAGGGGAGACCAGAGGTTGGGGATGTGATAAAGGCTGTTCCATTTCTTTTTGTGGTGATAAAATCCTAAAAGTGACGTTTGTGATGGCTGCACAGCTTTGTGAAACTCATAGGTTTACACACTCTAAATGGATGGATTTGTATATATGAACAAAACTAGTACTGAAGAAAAAAAAGACACCAGTCAGCTACAAAGCATGGACCTTCACTGCATTCTGACTTTTTATATAAAAATACGGAAGTATTAAAAGGTGAACTGTTAGAGGGCGCCATTGGCTCACACCTGTAATCCTAGCTACCCAGGAGGCTGAGATCTGAGAATTGCAGTTCAAAGCCAGCCTGCGCAGGATAGGCCATGAAACTCTTATCTCCAATAAACCACCAGAAAACCGCAAGTGGCGCTGTGGCTCAAGTGGCACTCACCTTGAGCTGAAGAGCTGAGGGACAGAGCCCAGGCCTAAAGTTCAAGCCCTACAACCGACAAAAAAAAAAAAAAGAGAGGACCAAAAAAAAAAAAAAAAGATCAATTGTTAGAGGTTAAAACACCAGTCAGTGATATACAAGAGATACTGATGGACTTTATTCTTTTTTTGTATTGTGGCCAGGCACTGGTGTCTCACACCTGTAATCCTAGCTGCTCAGGAGGTTGAGATCTGAGGATTGCAGTTTAAAGCCAGCTATGGCAGGAACGTTCGTAAGACTCTTATCTCCAATAAACCACCTGAGAACCAGAAGTGGAGTGTGGCTCTAAGAAATAGAATACTAGCCTTGAGCCAAAAAGCTCAGGGCGGCACTCATTCCCTGAGTTAAACCCCACAACCATCATCAACACACACACACACACACACACACACAAACAAGTACATTGTGGTTATGTTAGAAAAACATTTTTTTTTTCTATTGGTCATGAGTCTTGAACTCTGGGCCTGGCTGCTGTCCCTCAGCTCTTCAGTTCAAGGCAAGCACTCTACCACTTGAACCACAGTGCCACTTCTAGCCTTCTCTGTTTACCCATGGTGCTGAGGAATTGAACCTAGGGCCTCATGCATGCTAGGCATGCACTCTACCATTGAGCCACCTTCCCAGCCCTGGACATATATTTTTAAATATTAAAAAAAAAGCTGGGTGGTGCATGGCTAGCACCCCTAGGACCCTGGGACACCACCTTCAAGATCGGCTGGGGCTAGAGGCTGAGGGGTGGGGCGGGATGGGGTTGGTGGTGGAAGGGTCTCTGCATGAGGAGTGTTCTCACTTCCCATTGGTTCTCATGAATGGTGGATTTCAGTGGCAGCCGCCGGGGGCAGAGGTTACTTTAGCCCAGGTTCCTTCTTCTCTGGCCACTTAATAAATGCTGTGTCAAGGAATTATGACACAATAGGTCAGTAATTGAGATTTTCATTAAGTTCTGTCATCTGGATAAAAGATGGGGGGGTGCTATCTCTGATATTTGGTAGGTTTTAAAAAAGAGGTGATGAGTAAGAACAGCATTATGCAGGTGGTATTCAGGTAAGGGGTAGGTTTATTCATCCTTCTGGCTGGCACCAGGCCGTCTTGGCCCTCCACGCGGCTGGCAAAGGCCTGGGAAAGACCTGGGAAAAGAGGGCGTCTGGGCCTGGGCTAGGCCTTATCTAGGGTATGGACGGAGAAAGGTGTGGCCACATGAAATTCAGATGTGACTTCAGCGAATGCAGATGTGACCTCTTCCAGGTGTGCCAGTTGCCTAGGTAATGCAGGTACTGCGTGGAGACGTTGCTGCCAGGAGGGTGGAGTCTGCTGCCATCCTGGAGCAGACCTTACAATACTGTTTCAGGAACTTGACAGGCCAGGGAAAGCTCAGAGTATGGGAAACACACATGTACACACGTAAGCTGAGTCTGTCTCTCTCTATACACACACACACACACACATATATGTACACACATATACATACATATACAGGCTGAGTCCATCCATCCATCCATCCACCCATCCATCCATCCATCCATATCTGTATGACTGTGTTCTCAGTATAGTGTGAGTGCTGGAGTCCTCTTCCAGGAGCTCCTACAGCGAAAGTGGCTACCGTGAGCTGCCATTTTGCAGACCAGCAAACTGAGGTTCCAGGCCGGCTGCTCACCCGCCCGCCCAGGTGAGCGGCGGCGACGGGAGATGGAGGTCTGCTATTCTCACCTCCTACCTCGCTGCGGCTCCGACACCAGAAGCCCACACCTGTCTGGGTGCCGCGGAGGGTGGACAGGGGGCGGCGCAGATAGAAGGGGTGGTCCACCATAGCGGCGCTTCCGGCACGAACAGGAAGTAAACCCTCTGGAACTACAACTCCCAGAAGCCGCTGCGTCGCGTCCTTGTCGACACCCGGGAGCTGCCGCCATTGTCCGTGGTCGAGCTGAGGCCGTCGCGAAGTCCGCGGCTCTGGAGAACTCGCGCGGAGAGGCGGCACCAGGGCTGTTGCTGCGCCTGGTGGCCCCGGTTCGCCTCGATGCCCCGGTCGCCCTCGGCTCCCTTGCTTCCGGCCTGGTCGGGCGGTCCCGGGTGAGTCCTGCACCCCGGACCTGGCTTTGTTCCTTCGCGCCCGGCCGGCGTCCCAGCCGCGTCGCAGCGCGGGGTTCGGCGGCCCCGACCCCGGCCGGGCGGCGCGCCTCCGAGGCGTACTGAGGGGAAGCCCGGTGCCCGGGCGCTCGGCTGTCGGTATGGCTCACCCGGCGCAGCGTGGGGCGCCGAGCGCTGCCTCAGTTTCCCTTCGGTTTGAAGTGCCGCGCGCGCGTGAGACCTGACGTCGCATTTTGAGCAGCGGGGCCCAGCACAGGCCACCTGCCTTGCGGTCGGGCGTGTGTGGCGCCGCCGCTCCCCCAGCCGCGAGGCGTTCGTTTGCACGTCCGCGCTGGCGAGTGTGAACGCGGGCGTGCCGCTCCCGAGCGCCACGCGTGCGAGAGGCCAACCCCTGCCTCGCCCTGAGAACTCAGGTCCTGCAGAAGGCCTGGAACACGGGCAGTTGGGGTTCCGACTTCCAGACGCTTCTCTCTGACCGCAACACTGATGGGACTTGCAGTGTTGAGTCTGGTAGATTTGAAGGTGGAGTATTTCCGGGGCAGAGGTACAACAAAGTACATAGCAACGTAATGTTTACATTTGAACTTAGGAAGTTTACAAATCACTGGGCTTGTGTATTCGTCAAGTGTGCGCCGCTGTCCACTTCCGTCAAAAGACAGCCCTCCCTCCCATTCTGCAGGCATTCCCTGCCCCTTTGCTCAAACTCTATACCGATACTGCGTGTGGGTTGCATGTAGATTTTAGTGGTTTTGTCAGATGACTGAGACACACACACACACACACACACACACACACACACACACACACAGAGGTTAACTTTCTCTTCAAGAGTTCTGTCATGGGGCTGGGAAGGTGGCTCAGTGGTAGAGCGCTTGCCTTGCATGGCCTGAGGCCCTGGGTTCAATTCCTCAGCACCACATAAGAAAAAAGCCGAAAGTGGCGCTGTGGCTCAAGTGGTAGAGCGCTAGCCTTGAGCTGAAGAGCTGAGGGACAGCACCCAGGCCCAGAGTTCAGGCCCCACGACCGCCCCCCCCAAAAAAAAAAAAAAAAGTTCTGTCATGACATAAATTGTATGCAGTTTTTTCCCAGTGCTTTCTAGAAGTCTTGTGTTGCTTCTGTGGATGAGGTCTCTTCTTGTTCCTGCTGGATCTTCTGTGAGAAAGGACCCGTTTTATCTTTTTCCGCTGCCTCTAGGTTGATATTCTAGGTGCCTGAGTGATCAAACTTCAGGGATGGCAGCAGTCAACCAGTGGCCTTCCTGGGGTAAGTCCAAATCCTGTTTTTCTCCAGGGCTGAGGAGGGACTGAGGAATGGATGAAATAGGGTCTGTCTTCTTGGTACTGAATGAGAACTGATTGGTGATTAAGGGAAAAATTATTGGTATAAAAGACAATGTAATGGTACAATTTTTGTGTTCAGGTCCTGTAAAATACTCTAAGACACATTCCTGCAGTTTGTGGGTTGTTTTTTTTTTTTGGTCGGGACGTGGGGCCTGAACTCTGGGCCTCTTCCACTTGAGCTACAGCGCCACTTCCGGTTTTCTGGTGGTTTGTTGGAGATAGGAGTCTCACGGTCTCTCCTGCCCGGGCTGGCTTTGAACCGCGATCCTCAGATCTCAGCCTCCTGAGTAGCTACGATTACAGGCGTGAGCCACCAGCGCCCGGCTAATTTGCTATCTTTAAAAAATGCTGTGATAGCCGGGCACCGGAGGCTCATGCCTGTAATCCTAGCTACTCTGGAGCCTGAGATCTGAGGATTGAGGTTCAAAGCCTGCCCGAGCAGGAAAGTCCATGAAACTCATCTCCAGTAAACCATTCGAAAACTAGAAGTGGCGCTGTGGCTAAAGTGTTAGAGAGCTTGCCTTGAACTGAAGAGCGCAGAGATATTGCCCAAGTCCAGAGTTCAAGCCCCAAATGCTTGTGATATCAGTGATACATTTTATCTTTAAGTGTTTTTTTTTTTTTGTTGGTTGTGGAGCTTGAACTCTGGGCCTGGACATTTTCCCTGCACTCTTTAGCTCAAGGAGAGTGCTCTACCACTTGAGCCATATCACCACTTCTGGTTTTCTAGTGGTTTATTTGAGATAAGAGTCTCATGGACTTTCCTGCCTGGCCTGGCTTTGAATTGTAATCCTCAGATCTCAGCCTCCTGAATAGCAAGGATTGCAGGCATGAGCCACTGGCACCTGGCTATCTTTAAGGTTTTATTCACCAAAGATGTCAAGTAGTATCCTACTACTTTTTTTCTTTTTTTTTGAATTGGTCCCGGTCCTCAAACTAAAGGCCTGAGTGCTGTCTTTAAGCTTTTTTGTTTTTGTTTTTTTTTCCCATAAAGGCTTAGTGCTCTACCACTTGAACCACACCTCCACTTTCAGCTTTTTGGTGGTTAATTAGGCATAAGAGTCTCAATAGACTTTCCTGACTGGGCTGGCTTCAAACTGAGATCCTTAGATCTTAGCCTCCTGAGTAGCTAGGATTACAGGCATGAGCCACCACTGCCCAGCTCCTACTATGTACTTTTTTTTTTGGTGGTCGTGGGACTTGAACTCTGGGCTTGTGCGTTTCCTGTATAAATCCAGTTCATGTTGGAATTTTCATGTCCTTGGGCTCTGTGTCTGGAACTTTTGTCAGGTCCATTTGTGGGAATGCTTCCTTTTGCATGCTAGTCTCTGGGATTATGTCACAGTTGAAACCTGGCTCTTCTGTGTAGGTACCCTTTTGGATCAATCCTGGGGGATGGCAGCTGCTGACCGGTGGGCCTCCTGGGGTGAGTTAACAGGCCCAACTCTTCAGTTAGGTTGGCAGTTCTATCCTGGCCTCTTCGTGTAGTGAGCTGGTGATCAGAGCTGGAGACTAAGTGCTTCTTTAGAGCAGGGGACTTGTGGTCTAGTTCTGTTTCCCTGCTGAGTTGGAACAAGGAGGAATGAGAAAACTAGGGGATAAAGTTGGACATTGCTAGGATTGAATGCATGAAAATTACAGTAAGTGCTCATGCCCAGCAGTCTATGAACAGACCCTGCTTCTCAGAAATGGTACATAGGGGGTCAATTAGGGATTCACATTTTAGGTATATCCTTACCTGCTCTGAACTCCATTTTCTTCATCTGTAGAATGAGGATTTGGTCTCTTCTCTCACCCACGAGGGGAGGAGTTTGGGCAGGGACTGGCGCTCCCTAGTCCCTGGAATGATGGGCTTCTGACAGGAAGAGCTGCCTCCATGATTGCTTTTTTCTTTCCCAGCTGTGTGTCCTCAAGATCCTTCCTGGCACGCAGAGGAGATCCCTGAGGATAGGAAGAGGGCAGCTGGGCTCCCAGCAGCCCAGGTCCAGGTGAGATGGGGCTTCTGTTTTTTCCTGAATGGTCACTGTGTTCTAGAATGGGTACCTAGGTTCTTCTTGGACAAGTAGTCAGTGTGGTTTCTCAGATTACAGCAGTAAGAGTCTAGCTCAAGAATGAGTCAGCCAGAAGTGAGTGCAAGTAGGGAGAATGCAGTCCATTTTCCGTGATATGGATCCTCATTGTCAACAAGCCTGCCGCAGTCCACAAGACCCTGTGTTTTGGGGATGAAAGGACAATCATTCTAGCTACTCAGGAGGCTGAGATCTGAGGGTCAAGGTTAAAAGCCAGCCTGGGCAGAAAAGTCTTTGAGACTCTCACCTTCAATTAAAACAGCAAAAAGCTGGACGAGGAGCATGGCGCAAGTAATAGTGTACCAATCTTGAGTGAAAAGATTTAGGAACAGTGCTTAGTCCCTGAGTTCAAGCACCAGGAAAACACACACACACACACACACACACACACACACACACACACACACACACACACACACACACACACACACACACACACACACACACACACACCAGCCATCTTAGCTGACAGCCCCCTTTTCTCTTCTCCTTCTACTTACTAATACCTATTATTATTATTAGGTATTAGGCTAATCTTTTGTCAGTTGTAGACCTTGAATGCAGGGCCTGAGTGCTGTCTCTGAGCCTCTTTGTGCTCAAGGCTAGCACTCTTATCACTTGAACCACATATTTAGGCTAATCTTACTGGAGCAACTCCATGCTTGCTGTGAGAAAAAAGGCTAGGCATGAGAATCTCTCATGCACCTTTCCAGGGCTGTTCACTCAGCCAGTGACAGACAGCTCACGGCTGTCCTTGGGCTGCACATCCCCTGAAGGACACTAGAAGCCTGAGACCTGGAAGGAGGTCTCAGGAGAAAACATCACTCAGTCCGAGTCATGTTTTGGGAGATGAGATGGAGTCTGTATTGAGATCAGTGGAGACACAGAGATGCTGTGAAGGGGAGGCTGCCTGGAACATTAGGAGGCAGAAAAAAAGGCATCAGCCAAATAGGCACAACAGGTGAGCAGTGGTCTGACTTCTGTAGCTCCGTGGTTGTGTTTTTGGGGGCAGAGAGTGCACTGTATGATCTATGTCCAGATGTGAAGACTGAGGTCGCAGGCTGGAGAGGCCAGTACAAACCCAGCTGGGCCCTGCATCCCAGTGGAAGTAAGGAGCCTCAGAAGTGATGGAAGCAGGAGATACTATAATCCAGAATATGGCTAGAAAGAGGCTTCTGATGATGGAGAGCCTGCTGTGGGGCTGGCTCACATTTCAGGCTTCAGTCTGACCAGGGTAGAGACCAAGATAGGAGAGAAATAAAGAAGCTTGAGTAGAGGCTTCAGGGCTGAGCCAGTGGTGGCTTCTGAGAGAAGTAGGGCAATAGAGGTTAGAGTGAAGAGATTTTAAGACAGATAGTTAAAACCTTTTTTTGTCAATTATGGGTCTTGAACTCTGGCCTGGGCACTATCTCTCAGCTCTTCAGCTCAAGGCGAATGCTCTACCTTGTGAGCCACAGCACCACTTCCTGTTTTCTGAGTGGTTTATTGGAGATAAGAGTCTCTCGGACTTTGCTGCCTGGGCTGGCTTTGAACTGTGATCCTCAGACCTCAGCCTCTTGAGTATCTTGAGTAGCTAGGATGACAGGTGTGAGCCAATAGTGCCCAGCTGTCTTTTTTTTTTTAATAGTAGCTTTATTGAAATATGATCTGGAAATTATAGTTACCCTTTTAACTTATATAGTTCATTTTTTTTAAAACATAGTAGAATGATGAGTCCCTCACAGATACCTGATTTTCAAATATTTTTCCACCTCAAAAGAAATCCTGAATCCATTTCATGGTCAGTCAGTCTCTTTTCCCTCAACTCCCAGCTCCTGGCAAATCACTAACCATTCTGTGTATGGATTTGCCTGTCCTGGACTTTTTGTGTAAGTGGAATCATAATGTATGGCCTTTTGTTTCTGGCTTCTTTCACTTAGTTTAATCTTTTAAAGGGCTATTCATATCATAGTCTACATTTACATTTCTTCTCTTTTTTTTTTTTCCTGGTCTTGGCACTTGAACTCTGAGCCAAGGCACTGTCGCTGAGCTTCTTTTGTTCAAGGTGAGCACTCTACAACTTGAGCCACAGCTCCGCCTCTGTCTTTTTTGAGTAGTTTATTGGAAATAAGAGTCTTATGGAGTTTCTTACTCCAGCCGGCTTTGAACCATGATCCTCAGATCTCAGCCTCCTGAGTAGCTAGGATTAGAGGTGTTAGCCATCGGTGCCCAGCTGCATTGACATTTCTTTTCATGATAAGCACCTACATTTTAACTTCTTGCTTTTAGTTTCTGACAGTTGTCTTCATATTTCTAAATGAGAGATTTTAAGTATTTATTTTTGGCGGTATGAGATTTGAACTCAGGATATTACACTTGCTAGGCAGGCATCTACTGCTTGAGCCTCCAGCTTGACTTTAAGTTCTTTTTTTTTCTAACACGTGAAATTTACATTTACTATTGAATAAATGTGCTCCCTGCTATGGAAGGCCAAAAGGATAATTGTCTCATTACTTTTACCTGTAAGCTAAAATAACAAAGCAAGCCAATGTGAGATAGTGTTGTAACATTTTTTTTGTGTGATAAAATTTTAAAAAGTCTGAATTGTGTGCCTATCCCATAATTAATAAGGAATTAATAAAGCCTCCTACAGTTTCAAAACTGACAGGTGAAGTGCATCGAAAGTGTGCTGCCCGCATGGCAGCTGTTGCCCCTGGGAAGCTGAAGGGCCTGAACGGCGTATGCAGGGTGGTGATTATGTGGCATCAGAACCTGGGTGAGCTCACTGCAGTTACGATGTGAGCATCGCAGAGTCACAAGCAGTGATGCTGGGCCAGCCTCAGAGAGGGGCCCAGATCAGTCCCCTGGGAATAGAGGTTGGCTACAATAAAATGTTAGGAAGAAGCCTAACTAATCACCTTGCTGCACTCTGCTGTTGATTCATGTGAGGGTTTCTGAGAATCACTAGAATGACTGCTGAGAAAATAAAACAGAATTAAACTAACAATACCCTCTAATGTCTGAAGAGTTGTGATTTCTGAGAACATGCATGTGGCCCCTCCCCACACTCACTTTGGAATTTTCCCTGTGGTAACTTGGATTTGAATTGAGTTTTTAATTAAATGAGATCTTCTGGAGCTCAAAGAGGTGTGTGACCCTTTATGGTTCCCTCCAATTTAAACACATATTGAAATAAAACATCCGCTAACTGAAAACACCAAGTGCTATGATCCCCTCATTATCTGAAAAGTCTACTTTTGGAAACATGTTGGTCAGTCAGTCAAGTGTCAGCTTGATGGAGCTTTGATTCTCCTATTTCAGAAAACAGTAGGAAATAATAGTCATAATTTCCCTCCTATTAAAAAACCTATCACTCCTCAACCCCCAAATATGGAAATGCTCTCAAATCCCTGTAAATACCTACTAAGTATTTCTGCATTATAAACATGTCTGATATACTTGAGGATATACTCCAGTTTTGTTTTTCTTCTCTGCAGAGAGCTGCATAAAATGTTAACATCTGGGTTTGTTGTATACAGTCATCCCTCACTATATCTCAGTATACTTATTGTGGTATCACTGGTTTTTTTTTAAAAAAATATATCTAATTCTGTATCAGAGTTTTTGCTATTTTGCAGTATATATGTTTATGATTTTAATTTGCCTAAAATTTTAAAATAATATAAAAATAAAAGTGTTAAGTTTAATAAGAGATAACTGGGCACCTATGGCTCATGCCTATAATCCTAGCTACTCAGGAGGCTGAGATCTGAGTATCATAGTTCAAAGCCAGCCCAGGTAGGAAAGTCTGAGATTCTTTTTTTTTTCAATTAACCACCAAAAACCAAAAGTAGAGCTGTGGCTCAAGTGGTAGAGCATTGGCCTTGAGCAAAAAGCTAGCGCTCTACCACTTGAGACACAGCACCACTTCCAGCTTTTTCCTTTTTGCTTATGGGGTACTGAGGAATTGAACCCAGGGCTTCATGCATGCAAGGCAAGCGCTCTCTACCACTGAGCCACCTCAGCCCCCAAAAGTCTGAGATTCTTTTTTTTTTTGGTGGGGGGATCCGGTCATGGGGCCTAAACTCTGGGCCTGGGTGCTGTCCCTCAGCTCTTCAGCTCAAGGCTAGTGCTCTACACTTGAGCCACAGCGCCACTTCCAGCTTTTTTCTTTTTGCTTATGTGGTGCTGAGGAATTGAACCCAGGGCCTCAGGCATGCAAGGCAAGCGCTCTACCACTGAGCCTCCTTCCCAGCCCAAAAGTCTGAGATTCTTATCTCCAATTAACCACCAGAAAACGAAATGATGCTGTTGCTCAAGTGGTAGAGTGAGCTAAAGAGATGAGGGACAGTGCCTAGGCCCAGACTGACAAGTCCCATGACTGACCAAAAAAAAAAAAAAAAGCTTAATAAGAGAGTGGGAAAAGTTCGTATAGTGGTAAGGATTTATAAGGCCTTAAGATATGTGTATATGTGTGTGTATATATATATTTATACATTATATACATACATATATATAATGCTATTTTGTGGATTTTCACCTATCATGAGGGTGTCTGGACCATAACTTCCACAATAGGTGAGGGATTTCTAGTACACTTACAATCCTACAACTTGAGATGCTGAGGCAGGAGGTGTTACAGTCCGGCTAGGCTACAGAATGGGATCCTGTCTCCAACAAAAGGAAGAACACCCTTTAGACTGTCAATAACAAGATTATGTCAGAGAAGCCATATGACTTGCTCTAGGTTTCCTGAAAGGAGCAATCCAAGAAACTCAGATGATGAACCATCAGGCAAGATCCTGTTAGACAGGCAGCTAAGACCCAGCTCAGTACTTTTGACCTTCCTTCTGACCATGATAGGATTTAAGTGTGCAGCTGGTGTGTGAGCAGACTCAAGGCGTGCTTAGAATGCCCAGAGGGAAGCATGTACATGTACAAAATGACGTGCAAGAATGCTGATGAAGATTTTTTCTAGGCTTCTCTGCAAGCCATCCCAGCATATGATTAGAAGATGTAAGTTCCACAGGGCCTCCTGTGAGACCAAAGACGCGAGGCCCACAGGGCTTCCTGTGAGACTGAAGATGGAGGTCCACTGGGTCTCCTATGGAACTGAAGATGTGAGGCCCGTGGGGCTTCCTGTGGGACTGAAGATGGAGGTCCAGGGGCTTCCTGTGGGACCGAAGACTTGAGGCCCATGGGGCCTCCTGTGGGACCATGGATGTGAGGCCCATGGGGCTTCCTGTGGGACTGAAGATGTGAGGTCCACGGGGCCTCCTGTGGGACCAAAGACATGAGGCCCACAGGGCCTTCTGTGGGACTGAAGACCCCCCTGCTCATCCCTGGGAGGTGAACCCTTCTCTGTTTGGCACCCTTACCCCATAGCATCAGTAGGCTTCCTACCTGGGAGGCTCCCTTGCCTATACATAGGAGACTGGACCTCTGTCTTCCCTTGTCTCTTCCCAACAGACTGGTAGTTTGATTCTCATTTGCAATTCTAAACTGCTCTGAGCACCCTTGAGGTGAGGCCTCGATTTGCTCTAATTAGGGAGAGTGTTCACCTAGCAAGTTTTTTAATTTTTCTTTAGTCATTCATGGGGCTTGGACTCAGGGCCTGGGCGCTGTCCCTCAGCTCTTCAGCACAAGGCTAGCGCTCTACCACTTGAGCCACAGTGCCACTTCCAGCCTTTTGTGTGTATGTGGTACTAAGGAGTCGAACCTAGGGCTTGCATGCTAGGCAAGTACTCTACCACTAAGCCACATTCCCAGCCCTGCTTATTCACTTTATCCTGTTGTTTCTTGGCTCCATATTTTCTAAAAGCATTGGTTTGGATTTTATTCACTTAATTTTTTTGGAGATTAAGTTTTCTTTTTTTTTTTTTATTCTGAAGGTAAGGCTGACCTCAAACTTGCTATATAGTTCAGACTGGCCTTTAACACAGCTACATGTAGAGCACAGTGATGCATGCCTTTTAATCTCAGTGCCTGGCTTAGTTTTTGAAATGTGAATCTTGCTATGTTGCCCAAGCTGGTCTTGAACTTGTGAGCTAAAGCTACCTTGCCTTGTCCTCCCAATAATTGATATTACAGGGCAGAATAGAACCCACCAGTGTGGATTTTATTCCACTTGGCCCAGGCTGCTTTGGGCCGTCTTGCTTATCCTTAGTTCCACTCCTTGGGTTCTTGGGTTGAGGTTATTGGTGAATGGAAGCTTCCTTTCTGAGCCCGGGAAGATATATGTGTCTGAATCACTTTCCAGGTTCTAAATTCACATGTTGGAACAAAAACTCTTAAAACCCAAAGTCTCTAGCCTGCATGGTTTTTAGCCTGTGTCTTTGCTGGTCCTGGACTTAACTGTTTGCATTTTCAGAAAAGTGGAGATGGTGGAAACTTGTCCACATTGGCCAGAGTTTCTAGAACTGGGTCAGAATCCTAGGAGAGCTCATCTTTGCTGTGGTTTGTGTATTTTAATTCTTTCAGACTATATCCCAAGCCAGATACTGGTGGCTCACACCTGTAATCTATACAGGAGGCTGAGACCTGAGGATCTAGGTTCAAAGCCATCCTAGATAGGAAGACATCTCCAATTAACCACCAAAAACCTGGAAGTGGCACTGTGGCACAAGTGGTAGAGTGCCAGTTGAGCAAAAAGCTCAGGGACAGTGCCCAAGCCCTGAGTTCAAGCCCCAGGACAACACTCACAAATATCCCAAATGTTGGGCATTGGTTGGTCTTCATTGAGACCTGATCTGCATCTGTCATGATCTTGATTATGTACCGGACCTTCTCTAATACCTTCTCTTTCCCCTAGGGCTTTCAGCCTCACTCTGTCCCCAGAAACATTTGGAGGGGGTAGCCTCAGGCTGAGAAGGAACATGTGTGCTCTTTTTAGGAACCAGTAACCTTCAAAGATGTGGCTGTAGACTTCACCCAAGAAGAGTGGAGGCAACTGAACCTTGTTCAGAGGACTCTGTACCGCGATGTGATGCTGGAGACCTACGGGCACCTCCTGTCTGTGGGTAAGGCAGCGCACCCGAAGTAAATGAAGCTGATGCAATGCCTTCAGCCACTCCTCCAGAAAAGGGGTTGAGTCTCAGAAGGGCTGAGATGATCTTGAGCCCTGAGACCCTGGGACAGAATTCCTAAGGTTGACAAAGTACACACAGCATTGCTGGTTCTGACCATGAGAAACAAATAGGCAAGGGAAGCTTCCTCTGGGTCCTGTGAAGCCTGGAACCCAAACCTCGTGTTTTTCTTCCACACATAGGGAATCAGATCACCAAGCCTGAGGTCATCTCCCTATTGGAACAAGGAGGAGAGCCATGGTTGGTGGAACAAGCGTGTTCCCAAAGCACGCATCCAGGTGAAAAGTTGTCTGTTGCATAAATTCAGAATTCCTTGTGCTGATTTTCCTGCTGTGGAAACTTAACATACTTAAAATTTATTACTAAGATATCTCACCTTGCTAATAAGACAGTAATTTTTGCATAATGAGTTTTCTTCCCTTGTGTCTGGTCTTTTCATGACACTCATAGTCTCAGTTTTCTTTCTCTAAAGTGACTTTGTCGATTTTCTAATTTTTTAGTTCCTTTATTGCCAAGTTGTAGCCTAGGGCCACAAACATTTCATATGGTTCAAAAACACCTCAAAGCCACAGAGGACGTGTAAGCTAAAATGACTCATTTATGTTGTTCTTACCCACCAACACACAGGTAATCACTTGACATAAATCTTGCTTCTAGGTAGAATGTTTTCATCTTTTTTTTTTTTTTTTTTTTGTCGGTCATGGGTCTTGAACTCTGGGCCTGTGTGCTGAGCTCTCAGCTCTTCAGCTCAAGGCTGGCGCTCTTGAGCCACAGTGCCACTTCTGGTTTTCTGAGGGTTTATTGGAGATTATAGAGTCTCATGGATATTCCTTCCAGGGCTGGCTTTGAACTGTGATTCTCAGATCTCAGCCTCCTGAGAGTTATGAGCCACCAGTGCCTGGCTTTATTGTTTATTATCCTCTAAATCCTATTGATTCTACATCCAAAAAGAAAAGGCTGATGCAGTCATGAGAATGAAGTCTTTCCCGTTGTGGTGCCAAGGCCTTAGGGTGAGAGGGTCCTCTTCCTGTGGATCAAGATTGAGGGAAGGTCATTCCCTCTTAGTAGAAGCTGTGGATGGGGCTGGGAAGGTGGCTCAGTGGTAGTGCATGCATGAGGCCCTGGGTTCGATTCCTCAGCATGACATAAGCAGAAAAAGCCACAAGTGGCCCTGTGGCTCAAGTGGTAGAGCGCTAGCCTTGAGCTGAAGAGCTGAGGGGGCAGCGTGTAGGCCCAGAGTTCAGGCCTCACGACCAACCAAAAAAGAAAAAAAAAAAAAAAAGAAAGAAACTGGATGACAGCAGCTGTTAAAAGACTTAAGGCTTTTGTATATTAGTGGCAGGATTGGCTCTTCAGCTGGCTGACCTGCTCTTGCCACACATCCATTTCTGGGTGATGCCTCCCTTCCCATTTTCCTTTCTTTTGGCTGGTAGTATGGTTTGAATTCAGGGCTTTATGCTCTTGCTTAGCTTTTTTACTCAAGGATGGCATTCTACTACTTGAACCATACAATACTTCTGACTTTTTGCTGGGTAGTTGGGAGACCAGAATCTCACAGATTTTTGTTTTGGGGCTTGCTTCAAACCTTGAACCTCAGATTTATACCTTCTGAGTAGCTAGGATTTTAGCCATGACCTATCAGTACTTGGCTCTTATAGAATTTCTTTATGTTACTACAATATATAAGAATATGTAAATTATTTTTCATATGTGTATCTTTCTGTTTGGGAGATTCTGAAGTTTGGACTCAGGTTCTTGCACTTGATACGCAGGTAAGTGATTTAACACTTGAGCCATAATCACAACTATTTTTATTTTACTCTTGTATTTTTGCCCAGAGCTGGCCTCCAACTGCAGTTGTCCTGACTTGTCCTCCCAAGTATCTGAGAGAATATAGGCATGTGCCACCATACCTAGATTTTTTTTTTTTGTGGTGGGTACTGGAGTTTGAATTCAAGGTCTTGGATTTACTATATAGGTGTTCTAATATTTGAACTATAACTCCAATGTTTGGACTTTTGTTTTTTTTTCAAATAGGGTCTCAAATTTACACATGGGCTGAGCTAGATTGTGATCTTCCTATTTATGCTTCCTTTGTAGCTATAGTGACAGGTGGGAGCAATAAACCGTGACTATCCCATTAGATGATCATGCCCCAGTCTCCATAATTTGTGAATATTGTACCTCATATGGAAAAGGGGGCTTTTCAGATATGAATAAGTTATGGATCTTGAGATAGAGAGATTATCCTGGGATATCTGGGTATAAATGTAATCACAAGGATCCTTATAAGAACCAGGCATAGCTGGGCGCAGGTGGCTCATGCCTGTAATGCTAGCTACTCAGGAGGCTGAGATCTGAGGATCATGGTTCAAAGCCAGCCCGGACAAGAAAAGTCCATGAGACTCTTTTTTTTTGGGTCCGGTTGTGGGGCCTGAACTCTGGGCCTGGGCACTGTCCCTCAGCTCTTCAGCTCAAGGCTAGCACTCTACCACTTGAGCCACAGCGCCACTTCTGGCTTTTTTTTTTCTGCTTATGTGGTACCGAGGAATTGAATCCAGGGCCTCATGCATGCAAGGCAAATGCTATACCACTGAGCCACCTTCACAGCCCCTCCATGAGACTCTTATCTCCAATAATCCACTCAGAAAAACAGGAAGTGGCACTGTGGCTCAAGTGGTAGAGCACTACCCTTGAGCTGAAGAGCTGAGGGACAGTGCCCAGGCTCATAGTCAAGCCCTGTGACTGAAACCCTTCCCCCCCAAAAAAAGTCATGACTGGGCAGGCTGCACAGTGAATGAGCACTTGAGTCACTTGCACAATGCCCTTGGTTTGATTCTCAGCACCACAATTTCCTTTTCTTTTTAAGGTGAGCCAAAAAGGATCTGAGATCCCCAAGGGGAGATGTTATGATAGAAATAGAGGCTGAGGTGATTTGTTCTGAAAATGGAGGTTCTGTAAGCCAAAGAATACCAGCAGGTTCTAGAATCCAGAAGTGGTTTTCCCTGGAGCTTCTGGAAATAGCTCATTTCTGCTTATTGCTTTACTTTTTTTTTCCCAGTGAGAGCCGTTCTGGATTACTGACTTCCCAGATCTATATGATGATAAATCTGTTATTGTGAACCATTAAACATTTGATGAGTTGTCACAATAGCAGTAGGGAACTAATACAGACTTGTTTGGTTATTGGAAGGTTGACCCCTTGGCAGCAATGGCATATTGCTGCTGATACAAGTAATTTGTTAGGTATTTTGTGGGATTCATTCTCATTCAACTATCAGGAAAGGCCAGCAAGGATAGTGGCAGAGCCAGCTTTTAAATAAAGATTATCAGACTAATTCCTAAGGCTTTTTGATCATCTGTGCTATTATTCTAATCTGTCTTGTATCATTGTTCTTTTTTTTTTTTTTGGGTCCGGTCGTGGGCCTGAACTGTGGGCCTGGGCGCTGTCCCTCAGCTCTTCAGCTCAAGGCTAGTGCTCTACCACTTGAGCCACAGCGCCACTTCTGGCTTTTTCTTTTTGCTTATATGGTGCTGAGGAATTGAACCCAGGGCCTTATGCATGCAAGGCAAGCGCTCTACCACTGAGCCACCTTCCCAGCCCCTTGTGTCATTGTTCTAAAGGTGATTTTGTAGTGTTCTGAGGAATTATAACCTTAGGGGTAAGTATCCTTAAACCATGATGCTATTTTCCCTTTGAACTGGTAAATTTTGTGTTCTTTTTTGTTGGTTTATTTTGGTGGTTTGGAGTTGGCCTCATGCTTGTCAGGAAGGTGCTCTATTTCTTTTTTCTTTTTCGTTTTTTTTTTTTTTTGGTCAGTCCTGGGGGCTGAACTCTGTGCCTGGGCACTGTCTCTCAGTTCTTCAATTCAAGGCTAGTACCCTACCACTTGAGCCACAGCACCAGTTCTGGCTTTTTTTTCCTGCTTATATGGTGCTGAGGAATTGAACCCAGGGCCTCATGCATGTGAGGCAAGCACTCTACCACTGAGCCACCTTCCCAGCTCCAGGAAAGTGCTCTATTTCTGAGCAATGCTTCTAGCCTTTTTTGGACTGATTATTTTTGAGATAGGTTCTCTCTGCCTGCCTATCAGCATATCTGGTCTGTAATCCATCTACTTAGGCTTCCCATTGTAGCTGGATGATAGGCACAAGCCATTATTCCTACCTTCTTTCTGTTGAACTAATTTCACAGACTTTTTTGCTTGGGCTGGCCTGGAACCATAATCCTCACATTTTTAGCCTCCCACATAGCTTAGAATGACAGAACACACTACTGTGCCCAGTTTTTTTTTGGGGGGGGAGGTTTTGTCTTGTGAACTTTTCTGCTTGGATTGGCTTTGAATCTCTATCCTTGAATGTTTAACCTCCCAAGTAGGTTGGGTTACAGGCATGGCCACCAGCAGCCAGCTAAACCTTGTGTGCTTGATTGGACTCAGAGGAACAGGAAATAATGCAATAGCATTTTATCATAGGTAACATCCTGTCTCAAAGTCCTGTCTTTAATAATAACTTTATTTTAATACTCCTCATTTTTAATTTAAATATTACTTGCCAGGGGCCTGAGTACTCATCATCCCCACTCTGTAGCATTAGGGACCACACACAGGATCTTGTGCCTGCTGGGTAAGCCTCCCCTGAGCCACATCCCAGCCATGTTATCAGCCTTTGTTACTTTTTTTTTTTTTGCCTTAATAGCATTTACTGGGTCCATTTATTGGGGGGTCTCCAAGACTATCCAAGTTCAGTGATTTACTATGATGACTCAAGCTCAAAAGTGATCCTTAATGTTAGTTTATTACACTGAAAAGATACAATGCAACATTGGCAGAGTGAAAAGTACATGGAGCTAGGTCCAGAGGAAGTATGATGTAAGTGTCCATTAGTATTTTCCCACAACCTTGCCTGAGATTTAAGTGAATGTCCAAGGTATTTATGGAGAGGGATTGGCCATAGAGGCACACCCACAAGGGGCTTGTTCACTTTCAGTGACAGTGTTTTCACAGACTATCTAGAGAAATTGGTATAGTATACTAAAGGCATTTAACATACAGAGATGTCTTAGCATTTACCATCTTTCAAGGTCTCAGTTCTTGAGGTGGCCAAGGGCCAGGCTTTAAACAGGCCATCTTTGTGTTGTACAAGGTTTGAGTATCTTAGCCCTGAAGTGAACTCTTCTATACCTTAAATTCTGGTCCTCAATGGACACTAGTGGTTTGCATCTGTCATCCTAGCTACTCAGGTGATTGAGATCTGAGGATTGTGGTTGGAAACTGGGCAGGAAAGTCCATAAGACTCTTGTCACCCCTAAACTACAAAAAAAAAGGTAGAAATGGAGCTGTCGCTCAAGTGGTAGAGCATTATCCTTAAGCAAAAAAGCTCAGGGATAGAGCCCAAGCCCTCAGTTCAAGCCCCAAAACTACAGTCAAACAAAAATTTCACTGGCTTTCTGATCCTCTTTTCCTTTTTGACAAACTTGTTTACATTCTCTGGTTAATTATCTAACACTTTTCATATTCTGTATTTTGACAATTCTCTGGGTTTCAAGTCTGTAATTGAAAACAAATTTACTCTTGCTTTTAATAATACGAAACTATTTCCACTCTATCCCAGTCTTTCTCTGTGTACTAACAGCTTTCTTGTTGTTTCAGAATTGATGAGAAGTCTTGAAAGCAAATCACTGATCCCAACACAGAGTGTTTTTGAAGAGCAACCCTGTGGCATGAAGTTGGAACGATACATATGGGATGAGCCTTGGTTTTCCAGGTTAGGAGTTTGGGGATGTAAAGACCAGCTAGAAATGAACCAGAGTACAGCGATGAGGCAGATGGTCTTCATGCAAAAACAAGTACTGTCCCAAAGAGGTTCTGAATTCTGTGGATTTGGGACAGAGTATAGCCAGAGTTTAACTTTTGTTCCATCTCAGAGAGTTTCTCAGTTAGAACACTTCTATAAGCCTGAAACACATGCTGAAAGTTGGAAATACAACTCAGCCATAATGTGTGCAGATAAGGTTAGCTGTGAAAATACTGATCATGACAAAGCCCTCTACCAGTCCATTCTACCTATTCACTCTGCAAGAATGCAGACTGGAGATAATCTTTTAAAATGTGCGGATGCTGTTAAGTCTTTCAACCACATAATACATTTTGGGGATGGTAAAGGGATGCACACAGGAGAAAAACTCTATGAATATAAAGAATGCCATCAAGTCTTTAACCGGAGCCCATCATTTAATGAACATCCAACACTTCATAGCAGAGAAAACCAGTGTGACTACAAAGAATATGAGAATATCTTCTACTTCTCATCCTTTATGGAGCATCAAAAAATTGGTCCTACAGAGAAAGCTTATAAATACAACGAGTGGGAGAAAGTCTTTGGGTATGACTCATTCCTTACTCAACACACAAGTGCTTATACTGCAGAGAAACCCTATGAGTATAATGAATGCGGAACATCTTTCATCTGGAGCTCCTATCTTATCCAACATAAAGCTCATACTGGAGAGAAACCCTATGAATGTGATAAATGTGGAAAAGCTTTTAGGAATCGTTCAGCCCTTACTAAACATGAACGGACTCACACTGGAATAAAACCTTATGAATGTAACAAGTGTGGAAAAGCCTTCAGCTGGAATTCTCATCTCATTGTACACAAGAGAATTCATACAGGAGAGAAACCTTATGTTTGTAACGAATGTGGGAAATCTTTCAACTGGAACTCCCACCTCATTGGACATCAGAGAACTCATACTGGAGAAAAGCCTTTTGAATGTACTGAATGTGGAAAATCTTTCAGTTGGAGCTCTCATCTTATTGCCCATATGAGGATGCACACTGGAGAAAAGCCCTTTAAATGTGACGAATGTGAAAAGGCTTTTAGAGATTATTCAGCCCTTAGTAAACATGAAAGAACACATTCTGGAGCAAAACCATATAAATGTACTGAGTGCGGAAAGTCCTTTAGCTGGAGCTCCCATCTTATTGCCCATCAGAGAACTCACACAGGAGAGAAACCCTACAACTGTCAGGAATGTGGCAAAGCTTTCAGAGAGCGTTCAGCCCTTACTAAACATGAAATAATTCATTCTGGAATTAAGCCCTATGAATGCAATAAATGTGGAAAGTCCTGTAGCCAGATGGCTCACCTTGTTAGGCACCAAAGGACACATACTGGAGAAAAACCATATGAATGTAATAAATGTGGGAAATCCTTCAGTCAGAGCTGTCACCTTGTGGCTCATCGGAGAATTCACACTGGAGAGAAGCCCTATAAATGTAATCAGTGTGACAGGTCCTTTAACTGTAGTTCTCACCTCATTGCACACCGGAGAACTCATACTGGAGAGAAACCATACAGATGTAATGAGTGTGGAAAGGCATTTAATGAGAGTTCTTCCCTTATTGTACACCTAAGAAACCACACTGGAGAAAAACCCTACAAATGCAGTCACTGTGAGAAAGCATTCTGTAAGAACTCTTCCCTGATTATCCATCAGAGAATGCACAATGGAGAGAAACGCTTTATATGCAATGACTGTGGACGGGCTTTCAGTGGTCACTCGGCCCTGCTCCAACACCAGAGGAACCACAGTGAAGAGAAACTATAATAGGATTCAGAGAGTTTTGGTTCAATATACATTTCATAAAGCATTGAAAAATAACCCTATTAGTATAAACAAAATGGAAAGTTTCTTACTGAAAATTCAGTAAAACTTCTACCTTTATTATTTAATAGAAAATGCCTTTAGAAGAAACCTTATGAAGGAAAAGAACAGAAAAGCTTTCCACGGTTATATAGCCCTTATTCAGCACCAGATAATTTTAGAGAAGAAAGCTGTATATTCCCCACATGTCCTAAACTTTAGGAACAAGATTTAGGAATGAAGTTTTACTTAGCAAGGACTTCCTTCTTTGTAGATCAGTGTGCATTGTTAAGTGGAAATCTTTATACTGACAAAGTATTAATGATGGGAAATAGATTCCATCTTGCTAGAAGTTTGGATGGAAAGCTTTATAATAACATTTTGTGCATAATCCTATAAATACAGATAGATTTTTCTACTTAAAGGGGGAATCTAGGTGCTCTTTAGGAGATAAAATATGGAATACTAATCTGAATTTAAGGAAGAAAATAGTATAGTATTGAATAGGGTATTTACTGTTGCTCAAGATTAACCTCCTTAAAAACAGCTTAGTAAATGAAGTTACTAATGGTGGAAAGGTTGTCACCTAGAACTAGGACTGGTGTTAGGACAAAGGTGATAATAACCCATTGTGTCAGTATCCATTGCAGTGTCCACTGCAGTTGTTGAGCAGTTAGTTTGTAATTTGGTTTAGATGTAATTTGGTCTATTATAATTATGAACATTACAGCAATATATATAACATGAAGGGATAGAAAGGACATATAATTGTCTGTACATACCTACCATAACAAGTCTAAATAAATATATATGGAGGAAAGACCTGTTAGATCATGGAGAAATTAGCCCAGTTTATTTTTTGGTTTGTTTCACAAGTACCTATAGTGCTTACCATGTGGTAGGCCTCATTTTATGTGTTTTCTTTTTAGATATGAATTTGTGAAATCCCCTTAATTCTGATTTAGGTACTGTCCAGTTGTACAAATAGGGAAACTGAAATAGAGATTATGGGAACCTACCCAAGGGCCATAGCTAGTAATGAGTGGAGCTGAATTTATCTTTCTAATCACTGTGTAATGCTGTCTCTCCAGTGATGTTTTTCCCTAATATTTTTTCTCAGTTTTGTTCAGTGTTTTTTTGTAACTAAAGATTTGATAATAAAATATAAGAAAACCCTGAGCAATGAGAAGTTAAGTTCCTGGCTCCTGTGTCCCAAAAGGTTTCTGGTAAAGCAGAGCTGTTTTCCCCTTGGCATATGAGGACGTCTGGGTTAGACATTTAGAATCACTGTGAACTCATAGCTCTGTGGATTTCTGGTAAATGAGAACTAATTTTCCTTGGAATATGAAGAAGTCTGGGTTAGACATTTAGAACCACTGTGGGAAGTAGAATTGTGGCTCACAGTAGTAGAGTGTGACGGCTGCCAGTGGATTGCTCCTGTAATCCTAGCTACCCAAGAGGCTGAGATCTAAAGATTGCAGCTCAAAGCCAACTCAGGCAGAAAAGTCCCTGTGAGATTCTTTTTTTTTTTTTGCTAGATTTTTTTGTTTGTTTTGGGGTCCGGTCGTGAGGCTTGGGCCTGGGCGCTGTCCCTCAGCTCTTCAGCTCAAGGCTAGTGCTCTACCACTTGAGCCACAGTGCCACTTCTGGCTTTTTTTCCTGATTATGTGGTGCTGAAGAATCGAACCCAGGTCCTCAGGCATGCAAGACAAGCGCTCTACCACTGAACCACCTTCCCAGCCCCCCCTTGTGAGATTCTTATATCCAGTTAACCACTTAAAAAACAGAAATAGTACTGTGGCCCAAGTGATAGAATGCTAGCCTTGAGTACAAAGAGGCGCAAGGACAGTGCTCAGATCCTGGGTTCAAGCCCCATGACTGACAAAAAGTCTAGAATCACTGTGAAGACTGCAGATTTCTGGTAAATGAAAGCTAATTTCCCTTTGGAATATGAAGAAGTCTGGTTAGACAATTAGGATCCATTGTGAGGAGACAGGTTGACTGAGGAAGGGGCCATGGGGAGAAGGAATAGGAATTTTGAGCAGATGGTCCAGTGAGGGAGGTCACAGGCCATCAGCTCAGAGCAGTGCATTGGTGTGGCCCTTTGTACTGACACCAGAGGTGCAAGGGGAAACTGGAAGGGCTTAGTGAGTCATTGTGGACAGACCCCAGAAGCCAGGGCATGCTTGGAGTGCTGCAGTGTGGCCTACTGGACCCAGAAGTGAGGGGACTCTGGGGGAAGGGCCAATTCCAGGAGTGAGGGCATGTGGGGGGCTTTAGTGTGGCCTTGTGAGGGGTGCTGGGAACCCTTTGGCACAACCTGTGGATCCACAGCAGAAGTGAGGCAATGAAGAAGCAGGGAGTTTCTAGGAGCACTGGCTTTGAGCTGTGAGGCCCCCCTCCATCTCCAGACGTGTATGTCTTTTGCCCTGGAAACCACCCTGCCCTGTGACGTCATAGGACAATCCTGGTTCAGGTAGCGTAGGCAGCATGCAGTGGCAAGTACCTGCTTTCACGGTAGGTCTTCCTGGTGGCACTGGGCGGTGGGGGGAGTCGGGAGAGAGATTTGTGCCACTGTGTGGGAAGATTTCTTGGTGGAGAATCTGGGGCTTGCTTTGGTTTTCCATCTGGGAATCGCCCAGCTATCTGTGCTCCTCTAACTCATCCTAAAAATTTCATGGAAACTCCTTACAATGATAGAGCCCTGGTCTTCCCCTCCCCAGATTCATAAACCCAGAAATCTGTATTTTTTTCAGCCAGTGGTCTGGTTATTTGTCTTTCTGTGCTTGCTATGGTTTTACCCAAGGTCCTAACCTGGGTAACCACACACAAGGTAGAGGGCCATCAGGGTCTGGAGTTACGGGACCATCTGGGCAGGACTCGGGCAAAGCTGCCAGGAGTGAGGACCCAGTCTCGTGCACTGATGACATTGGTAGACGGAGTTGAGGATGCAGGTGATTCTGTCGAGCAGCCAGAGCTTCCTCGAAGGCAGTCCTGGCTGGGCTCCAGGATGTTATCTTGGATGTGGTACTGGATGTGATTTGTAAGAACAAAATTCTTGTTGACTTGATTAGAGATGACATCTATTCAATACCTATTTTCTGTTCAGAGTTAGGCACAGATTGCTTTATTTAATAACTAACCCTGTGAGGTAGGTTCTCTTTCTTCCTGTAATTTGCACATTTGGGAACTGAACTAGAGGTGTTAAATGACCATGAGGCTCAAACATCTAGGAGACCAGAGATGTGGTCTGAACTGTGTCCTTCCCTCACCTCAGGATAATTCTTCCTTTCCTTGCCTTTTGTATCAATATGAATAGCATTGTGTTTGACTCCCCTCCCCAGTCTTCATGCTCTGCAGGCAGGGATCTGTTCTCTTTTGTGTCTGCACCTGCAAGCGGAACCCCACTTGGGGACCCCCCCAGAGTTGGGACACCTTTCATTGGCTGACCTGGTTCCGTGAAGACAATTCTACTGCAGCAACAGAAGCTGACCTCACGGTGATGGCTCCAGCCCGGAACCCAAGCACTGCCAGGAGCAGAGCTTCTCCAGGTCCTTGGACTACAGCTAAATATTTCCCTCATCTATATGATGAAGGGTTGATGATTTTAGAATGGAGCATAAGGGTCAGAGTTCTTTCACAGTTTTATTTTTGTTTCTGCTGGAATGCCTACCTTATTTACATTTGGCTTATGCAGATGAACCCCAGTTTTCTGAAGACACAACAAACTTGTCAGGTATCGTCTTGACAGCCGTTTCTTTGCTTTGCTTGTTGTTGTTACTGTTGTTAATTTAGTAGTACTGGGGTTTGAATTCATGGCCTGCACTTGCCAGGCAAGCACTCTACCACACTCCTCTTTCTTTCTTTCTTTCTCTTTCTTTCTTTCTCTTTCTTTCTTTCCTTTCTTTCTTTCTTTCTTTCTTTCTTTCTTTCTTTCTTTCTTTCTTTCTTTCTTTCTTTCTTTCCTTCTTTCTTTCTTTCAATAGGGTCTCTTGCTTATGTTCAGGTATCCTGAAAGATGAACCTCCTTTTATATTTCTCATGTAGCTAGGATGACAGGTGTATGTCACCCATATGTCATCTCTAGAGGGTCCCCTTTCCTTGGGTACATAAAAGACAGCTGATTTCCACTTGTGTTCCTCTCAAGCATTATAAACCTTCTAAACAATGTCAATAAATTGCTTCCTCTACCTGTTGCGATTACCTTCTTGATGACAGGGCACTCTGACCACCAAAAGTTGTATCAATTATATGCAGGTTCTCAGGGACTTTGGGGTCAGCGTTGGTGAATTTCCTTGTAAGTCTGATTAATTCAGTCTAAATTTCCAGAGTATCCCAATTAGCCTTTCGTTGTGATTCTCACATCTTATTTAGGCTTTTCTGGTTGGGTACTCCTCTGTAAAGTCCCATGGAGATACATCTCTGATAATGATGTATACTGACATTTCCTGCATCTGCTACATTAGGGCTGCCAATTTGGTTACCCTCTTGATACGGCTGAATCAGGTAAGGGGTCTTGGTTAGTTTTTGGGTCAGAGATTCGTCTCATCTTACTGTACTGTCACAAGCAAGATGTTCAACAAAGTTTGTAAATAGAGAAGACTATTTCTGCCTTCCTCTCCCAACTGGGAGAGTCTCAGGCCAGCTGCATTCATGCATCCTCTGTCTTCATGCCTCCAGGAGGTGTACCCACAACCTGGGGCGGGCCAGGGCTTCAACATAGCAGGGGTAAAGGGATTTATTATTCTCAGATTAATGAGGTCTTCTTGGACCTCTTCCAGGGCATGGCTTTGACTTTTAATCTACAATCCACTTAGTTTCTGGCTGTTCAGAGTAACTGCACACAGGCTTAAATGTGGGATTTCACCCCATTTACCTCCTTTCTGAAAAAATGACTCAATGCAAGATTATATAACAGGGCTGGGAAGTTGGCTCAGTGGTAGAGTGCTTGCCTTGCATGCCTGAGACCCTGGGTTCAATTCCTCAGTACCACATAAGCAAAAAGAAAAAAGCCAGAAGTGGTGCTGTGGCTCAAGTGGTAAAGTGCTAGCCTTGAGC